GTGCACCACCAGCTGGGAGCGCTGGCTGAAGCACTTCCCACACTCGCCGCATTTGTAGGGCTTCTCGCCCGTGTGGATCCGCTGGTGCTTGATGAGGTTGGAGCTCCAGCTGAAGCTCTCCCCGCAGGTCAGGCACTCGTAGGGCTTCTCGCCCGTGTGCATCCCCTGGTGCGCGATCAGGCTGGAGCTCTGGCTGAAGCTCTTCCCACACTCCCCGCACTTGTAGGGCTTCTCCACCAGGTGGGTTCTGCGGTGCGTGGCCAGGTTGGAGCTGCGGCTGAAGCTTTTCCCACACTCGCCGCACTGGTAGGGCTTCTCTCCCGTGTGAGTTCTCCGGTGGGTGATGAGGGCTGAGCTCTGACTGAACCTCTGCCCGCAGTCGGGGCATTTGTATGGTTTCTCCCCGGTGTGGATCCTCTGGTGTCGGATCAGGTTGGAGTTGTAACTAAAGCTCTCGCCGCATTCTTTACACGCGTAGGGCTTTTCTCCAGTGTGGATTCCCTGATGCGTATTAAGGCTGGACCGGTTGCCGAAGCTCTTGCCACACTCAGGGCACGAGTATGGCTTCTCTCCCGTGTGGGTTCGCTGGTGAGCGATGAGGTTGGGGCTCCTGCTGAAACTCTTGCCACACTCGGCACACTGGAAGGGTTTCTCGCCCGTGTGGATCCTCTGGTGGGTTATGAGGTTGGCGCTCCGGCTAAAGCTTTTCCCACAATCCCTGCATTTATAAGGTTTCTCCCCGGTGTGAGTCGTTTGGTGTCTACTAAAGTTGGAACCGTCGCTAAAGCTTTTCCCACATTCGTCGCACTTGTAGTATTTCTCTCCCGTGTGGGTCCGCTCGTGCGTGATGAGGTGGGATTTCCGACTGAAGGTTTTCCCGCACTGGGGGCATTCGTAGGGCTTCTCACCCAGGTAGGTGCCCTGAAGGCCGATGAGCTGTCCAGCTTCCCTGCCCTGGGATGGCACTTCCCTGTGGTCTTCACTTGAGGCCTTTCCCCGGGGACCCCTGGAGCCACAGTCTCTCTCAAGGTCACTTTCCCAATCAGACTGCTGAACACCTTCCCCTCCAGGTGTTTCTGAGAAGAGCCCATGTGAGTCCATGTCCTCAAATATGTCTTGATTAGAGTTCTCCCCGTTTTCACTCGGGATCTCAAAATCTGAAATGATGAAGAAAAAACATACAATTTACACTCAATTCCCTGTGATGAGAAAAGGAAACCAAGGGGGAAATTTTTTAAATTTCAACTTCTAATGAAATAAAGAGGCTAAAGAATCCTGAAGACTTTAAAACCAGGTTATTTTCTCTACTGGTATCTAGTTACCAGGC